CACACACACACACACACACACACACACACACACACACACACATTTTTTGGGAGCCCCATTTTTTGAAAGTTGCTACCCTGTATCCGTAGCGTAACGCACATGTGTTCTATGTAATTGCATTTTAATCGCTATTAACAAATGTGTGTCTTGTTTGGGGGAAGATTGTAGGGTCAAGGGCTGTGAGGCCCTGAGTCAAAAGCTGTGTCCAGAAGAGGAATCTTGGAAAATCAACAGTCAGATCCTGGACGGGAGAAATAGTCAACCCAGTAGTCCACCACGGCGGTAGGTTGTCTGCAGGATTCCAGAAGATTCCAAAGATTCCAGTACCAGTTGGGATACGCTACCTCTGTCGGTGCGGTCAAAGGAGGGACTGATCAACACTCATGAATGCGATTCAATGCCATGGTCAGACCACATCGGAGGAAATTCTGCCTTGCGCTGCTTTGTGGCAAAGTGCTACTCGTGAGGCTCTTGTGGGAGGTGCTGGCGCCAGATGCTGCTGGAGGGTGCGAGCCTAGTTAGAGGAGATGCAGGAGTGGCCATAGCTGGGCATAGCTGATGAGATTGGGCGAGGAGGAGGATTAACATTGTGAGATTGATGAGAATTTTGAAGGGAATCTCACCTTGATTTACCTGGCATCGACATGATTCATTTGTTGCTGGTCTTCAATGTCGACATCAACACGATTGATTTGTTGCTGGTCTTCAACGTCGACATTAACATGATTGATTTGTTGCTGGTCTTCAATGTCGACCCCAACTCGATGTCTAACCTCCTGCTCTAGTTATCATGATGGACACCTTCCGCTCTAGTTATCATGATGGACACCTTCCTTCGATGCCGACTGGTTGACTCACAACACGATTCGCATTCCTCCTTGATGGCCGACAAACTATCATCGCCCTTGCGATCCTCCTCCTTCATCGGTGCGACCACGTCCACGAGCAGGCTACATGCAAGCTGTGGTCGCGGATCAATGAGCGCAAGGTTTGTCTTGCGAGTCCACGAGCAGGCTACATGCAAGTTGTGGCCGCGGACCAATGAGCGCAAGGTTTGTCTCGCGAGGCCTCGACTGGACACCGCTGAGGGGCCCGGCGGGCAAACCTCTGTGGCTTGACCACAACTACCTCGGGCCCAATGGGGAACTGCCTATTGTGGCGGACTTTTCCCAACATTGGCAGTTGGTTATCGTGTGGGACTGTTATGCCAGACCTGCTGTGTGCTGTAAGAGCATAGGGACAATAGCATCATGCACACGAGCTTGGAGGTTAGCATGTCGTCATGTTGAGTGCTGAAACACTGAATAATTCGAAAAATTATTATATGCCTTATTCATACTATGGGGGCAATTAGTAAATCAACAGTGAAAACATAACTACTTTCACCATGCAGCTGGAGCAATTGGCTAAATTAGTAAGCGGTCGTTTAATGAACAAGATGGAATGATTGGAAGAAAATTATAACTGAGCTTTGGCGAAATTTGTGTATGGGAAACCCAGCCCATATACCCTAGTAGGTGCCTGATCGAGTACGAGTGAGTGCCATCTCCTCAGAAAACTTATGGTCTGACTTGGATACTTGGAGAGCACATAGCCCTCGGAGGAAAGGGTGTGGCGGTGGTTGGGCTTAAATCTGTGCCCCTCTTCCACTGGACATTTGTTGCTATCCATATGTAAAAAAACGTTGTATAAGCCCCTACCACAAGCAAGGGCATATCGGGCGTTGTCAAAGATCCGATATTATGGATATTATATTAAACATGTGAGTTTTTTGTTTTGTTTTCTATTTTGGTTTTCGAACTTTTTTTTTCTATAATCTTATTGTTGTAAACCACCGGCCTTGTTTGTTTTTTTTCGAGCCTTCGAAAGATTTTTTTTTTTTGTTTTTGATTAAGTTTTGTTTGCCAAACATTTTCCAAGATTTGTCGATAAGGTTTAAATTTTGATACGCGCGTTTTATTTATCTTAGTTTTTTTCATCAAATCACAATTGCGGATAACGGGAATCGAACCATATCCCCTGTTTGAAAGGCAGACAATTTACCTTTTTGAGCTTGTTTCGTCGCGACGTGTGAGGTTTTGCCAAATTTGTGTCCCGTTCTGTTTTATTTTTTAATACAACTGTGAAAAACAAAAAAAACTTGGCATTGCATTCAACAAAGAAATAGCAGGGTATTACCCAAGCACTGTCACATCCACAAAAGAAAAAAAGAAACAAAAAAAGAAACAACTCTTTGGACGTCATAGCTAGTGGTTTTGCAGAGTATATGTGCGACTATGCCCTCAATGAGGGCGATACATCGGCTCAGTGTTGTCTACGAAAGAAGAGAGAGAGGTGGGGCGGGGGGGAATTGAAACTAACCTTAGAACGAGAAAGCAGGTTGATACATTCTCATTAGTAGCAGTGTGAGAATGCCATAGCTAGTGGATGTGTTTTGCGGAGTATATGTGCGACTATGCCCTCGATGAGGGCGATCGACTCAGTGATGTCTACGAAAGAAGGGGGAGGTGGGGGGGGTGGGGGTGGGGATTGAAACTAACCTTAGAATGGGAAAGCAGGTTGATACATTCTCATTAGTAGCAGTGTGAGAATGCCTTTCGTAACAAAGTGTCAGCAACCCATGGAATGTGCCTTGCCTCGTTCGCAGGGCACCGAAACAAAATAAAAGAGCAAAAACAAAAACACGAACAACAAAAAGT